AAAAAAAAAAAAAAAAAAAGATAGCCGAGGTCTCAATGGTACCCATTGGACGATATGCCCAAATTGAAACCTCACCCTAAAGTAAGAGCCCCTCGGGACGCTCCCCTCCCCACAGACAGTGACAGACAGCGAACACAGCTCTACCGAAGCGACCTCGGCAGCTAGGGCAGGTAGCTAGGGGCTCAGGCCACCATAGCAACGGCGCACGCGCATCTTCGCCACTCCGGCATGCCTCCCGGAAGTGATTCCTCCTGGGTCACGGCGCAGGCGCAGGATATGCGTGGCGCCGCGCGAGGCGCAGTTGCGCTCTTTCCTAGTCTCTCCGCGCGCCTGGGGCGCCAAGCCGCGTCGCTGCGGCCGAGGGTGCCATGTCAGACAACGAGGACAAGTGAGTGCGGGAGCGGAATGGCCTTTGCAGGAGCCTTGGGAAGGGCAGCCGAGGAGCTTGGCGTCGAGGAGCAGTGTCTGAGAGGATTAGGGGCCCGAGGGGGGTCTGCGGAGCTGGAGGAGGGCGGGGAACCAGGAGCACAGCCTGACCTCAAGCTGGGCAGAGATGCCCAGGCTGGGGGGTTCAGAGGGGATCTGTGAAAAAGGTGTCTTCCAGCACACTTCCCGCTGAGCCAGGCTCCGTGTCAGGCCGTGGGAACACTGGGTGGATCAGGTATAGCCCGTGGTCTCCAGATGCTCTCTTTCTAGAAAAGCGGGAACAGGCCCACAAGCAAGAAGATGACGCGGACCGTGCGGACTTCCTAGAAGTACTCCAGAGGAGGGTGGGGTGGTAGAAGTCTGGAAGGGCCATTTAGGTGGGAGGAGGCAGTGGCTTGTTCCAGAGTGATGGTAGCAGATATGGTGAGACGTGGTTCTGAAGTCTGGGTATACTTTAAAGGTAGAGCCGAAAAGATCTAAACTGAAGATGAAATGTGACTGGAAGTCATCAGCATAAGTGTATTAACCTAAGAAACAGGCGGGATCACCAGAGAAATGAGTGTCAGCAGAAAAGACGAGAGATCGGGTGACGTTAGAGCATCCATCATTGAATGCTTGGGGGAAAAGAGGAGAAGCAGCAGACGCTGAGAAGGAGCAGCCAGTGAGTTGGGGGAACACCAGGAGAGTCAGTTAAGGGAGTATATAGAGCAGGAGGAAGGGGCCTAGTGTCAACTCCAGGTCAAGCTAAAGGAGAACGAGAATTGTCCATTGGACTTAACAACATGGAGATCGTTAATTTAAAAGAGTGGATTTTTTTTTTTTTTTTGAGTTAAGTCTTTACTCTGTTGCCCAGGCTGGAGTACAGTGTCACAATCATAGCTCACTGCAGCTTTGACCTCTTGGGCTCAGGCGATTCTTCTGTCTCAACCAGCCAAGTCTGGGTGCCTTCCTCCCACAGAGAGCGGCTGGTGGGCTCCCTGGGACTACAGGTGTGGGCTACCACACCCAGCTAATTTTTGATTTATTGTAGAGATGAGGTCTCGCCAAGTTGCCCAGGTGGGTCTTGATTTTTTTTTTATAGAGAAAATTTCTCACTGTGTTGCCCAGGCTGGTCTTGAATTCCTGGGCTCAAGCAATCCTCCCATCTCAGCCTCCCAAAGTGCTGAGATTACAGGTGTGAGTCACCACACCCAGCTTATTGGAGTGAGATTATGACAGAATGTGGAGAGGTGTTGGAGTCAGTGAGGATGGACAGTTCTTTCACAGATTTTTGTTCCAAAGGCCACAGTAGATTAGGACGGGGGCAGGGGGCGGGGGGAAGAGAAGTAAGTTTTTTTTTTTTTTTGAGTTGGAGTCTCACTCTGTCCACTAGGCTGGAGGGCAGTAACATGCTCCCAGCCACCACAGCCTCGACCTGCTGGGCTCAGGCGATTCTTCCGTCTCAGCCTTCCAAGTGGCTGGAACTACAGGCACATGCCAGTATGCCCAGCTAATGTTTTGGTTTATTGTAGAGATGAGGTCTCTCCAAGTTGCCCAGGCTGGTCTCGAACCTGCGGGCTCAGGCAGTCCTCTCATCTCAGCCTCCCAAAGTGCTGAGATTATAGGTGTGAGCCACCGTGTCTGGTCAAGTTTTTTTTAAAGATGGGGAAAATGACAGGGTTAAATGCTGATGGGAGTGATCCAGTAGGGAAGGAAACAGTGATGCTGAATGAGGCCTAGCAAACTGGAGGCAGAGGGGGAAGATCGAAGAAATAAAATGGAACAAGCCGGGTTCGGTGGCTCAGCCTGTAATCCCGCGCCTTGGGAGGCTGAGGTGAGTGG